TGATGTTATTGATCAGTTTGTTGGTCTTTAATTGTTTGTTGGTTATTGATCAGTATTGATCGATCAGATCTTACCTGAATGATAAAACCCGACAGGAAGTGAAGAGATGATGGAGCGCAGAGTGACGGAACGCATCTGAGACCTGCCAACCAATCAGAGGACAGACTGACATCATGTGACTCCACAGGCTGACTAACCAAACCACTCCCCCACCCTGAGTGTACCTGTACTACAGCTACTACAGCTACTACAGGTACACTCAGGTACTACAGCTACTACAGGTACTACAGCTACTACAGGTACACTCAGGTACTACAGGTACTACAGGTACTACAGCTACTACAGGTACACTCAGGTACTACAGGTACTACAGGTACTACAGCTACTACAGGTACACTCAGGTACTACAGGTGTTCAGAGTACTTAAAGGAGTATCCTCCAAAGTCTGTTCCTTAAGTACACACTCTAAAGTGTAAACAATGACAAATGCGCTCAACAGCGCCCCCCTCAGAACAGCAGAGGGACACACCTTCAATAGGGGGCGCCAGAGTATTTCAGGGGAGAGACGACACATGGAAAAAACACACAAACACACATACAAACAAACAAACACACAAACACACATACAAACAAACACACAAACAAACAAACAAACACACAAACAAACAAACAAACAAACAAACAAACACACATACAAACAAACAAACACACAAACAAACAAACACACAAACAAACAAACACACAAACAAACAAACACACAAACACATAAACAAACACACAAACACACATACAAACAAACAAACAAACAAACACACAAACAAACAAACAAACACACAAACAAACAAACAAACACACACAAAGAAACACACAAAAACAGACAAACACATAAACAAACACACAAACACATAAACAAACACACAAACAAACAAACAAACAAACACACACACAAACAAACACAAACAAACAGACAAACACACAAACAAACAAACACACAAACAAACAAACAAACAAACACACAAACAAACAGACAAACACACAAACAAACACACAAACAAACAAACACACAAACAAACAAACACACAAACAAACAAACACACACACAAACAAACAAACAAACAAACAAACAAACAAACACATAAACAAACACATAAACAAACAAACAAACAAACAAACAAACAAAGAAACAAACAAACACACAAACAAAGAAACAAACAAACACACAAACAAACAAACAAAGAAACAAACACACACACACAAACAAAGAAACAAACAAACACACAAACAAAGAAACAAACAAACACACAAACAAACAAACACATAAACAAACAAACACACAAACAAACAAACACATAAACAAACACATAAACAAACACACAAACACACAAACGGTCCTTGGTCTCACCAGCAGTTGGACGTCGTAGGCGAGAGATTTGAAGAGCGTCGAGCTGCAGTTTCTGAGCGCCTCCGAAAAAACGGCTCCACCTGTGATCAACATCCGACCCCTGAGCACCACCGGATCAGCCGCACCTCAAACGACACAACAACACAACAAACTGTCAACAACAACACAACAAACTGTCAACAACAACACAACAACACAATAAACTGTCAACAACAACACAATAAACTGTCAACAACAACACAACAAACTGTCAACAACAACACAACAACAACACAACAAACTGTCAACAACAACACAACAACAACACAATAAACTGTCAACAACAACACAACACAACAAACTGTCAACAACAACACAACAAAATGTCAACAACAACACAATAAACTGTCAACAACAACACAACAACACAACAAACTGTCAACAACAACACAACAACACAACAAAATGTCAACAACAACACAATAAACTGTCAACAACAACACAACAACACAACAAACTGTCAACAACAACAACACAACAACAACACAATAAACTGTCAACAACAACACAACAAACTGTCAACAACAACACAACAACTACACAATAAACTGTCAACAACAACACAACACAACAAACTGTCAACAACAACACAACAAAATGTCAACAACAACACAATAAACTGTCAACAACAACACAACAACACAACAAACTGTCAACAACAACACAACAACACAACAAAATGTCAACAACAACACAATAAACTGTCAACAACAACACAACAACACAACAAACTGTCAACAACAACAACACAACAACAACACAATAAACTGTCAACAACAACACAACAAACTGTCAACAACAACACAACAACTACACAATAAACTGCAAACATCTACACAGAAACACAACATAGTTTCACAAAGACACAGTTTGTCAAACAACAACACTAACATGACAACATTCACACTCTTACCTGTTACAGGTTAAAAAGCAACAGTCTCACCTGAACAGGTGAGTCGACTTTGTTTACCTTCATTCTTCAGGCTGAGCCATGACACCACAATCAGAGCGACACAACACAGGAGAAGAAGAACCACCATGACGGCGAGGGCGAACTCCAGGGACGAGAGACGGCGCTTCATGACCACTGCTGACAACACACCATCAATACATCAATACATAATCAATACACCAATACAACGCCAGATCAATACATCAATACATAATCAATACACCAATACAACACCAGATCAATACATCAATACATAATCAATACACCAATACAACGCCAGATCAATACATCAATACATAATCAATACACCAATACAACACCAGATCAATACATCAATACATAATCAATACACCAATACAACACCAGATCAATACATAACTCAGCACTCTGACTGCAGTAAACTTCTGTCTTTGGTCTTTTTTTAAATGTTTTTCCTGTTTTTTCTGCAGCAGAGAATCATCGTCATCGTCTTCTTCAGTTTCTGTGTTTCCTCACATGAGAATAAAAAATCTTTAATTATGAACACATGAATAACCAACGACACCACACTTATAACTATCAAATCTTTAATTATGAACACATGAATAACCAACGACACCGCACTTATAACTATCATAAATCTGTTTAAACAGGACCACATCAGTAACTAACAGAGTTAAGACTAAACTATCTCTGCTCCACACAAACACACACAAACACACACAAACACACAAACACACAAACACACAAAAACAAAAACACACAAAAACACACAAACACACAAAAACAAAAACACAAACACACAAACACACTCATCTCTGCACTTTATTTTGAAACTCTGAGATTTTAATTTGGAATCAGACTCACCTGTGTAGACGAACCTGCTGCAGTGTGTTTGTGTGTTTCTGTTTCTCCTTTGATCTTTGATCTTTGATCTTTGATCGGCTTTTATTGAGCTGGAAAAAACTGCTTATCAATACATGAAGTGATAATCAATAACCTGCAGATAATTATTAATATGTAAAGAGTGGTTACCGCCCAACACACACTGATAAGGATACATGAAGAAGTGCTGACTCACTGTGTGTGTGTGTGTGTGTGTGTGTGTGTGTGTGTGTGTGTGTGTGTGTGTGTGTGTGTGTGTGTGTGTGTTCAAACACTTTGATCATGTTTACTGATCAATAACCTGGCTAATAACCTTATTCATAACCTGATCAATACCTTGAACCATTAGACACATTGTTGGCTGCTCAGAGACTTGAACCCGAGTCTCCACCTGTCAATCAAACTATAAATACACCTGGATTATCAGACACCTGTCATGGCGTCTCAGCTGTCCTCTGAGCGGTGATGATGTCACTTCCTCTCGGAAGGACTGAGCCCAACCCCCCCCCCCCCCCCAACCCTGGGTTACCGTGGAGACGAAGAACTTTCTTTAACAGGTAGAACCCTGGAGGAGGAGCGGACTGACATCAGACCGTCATCTACTGAGACTGAGCTGGGGTCATGTGACACATTAGTGAGTCACATGATCAGATTGATCAGAAATATTGGTGATCGGTTCTTCTGTAAACGTTTCTCGTTCGTCTCTCTTTGTTGTTTGGATCAGGATGGAGGGGCGGAGCCAGGTGGAGGTGAACGCCGTCACTGATGGTCATTTTTATTCAGAGTTTTCAGAGTCAGCAAAAATACTTTTACCCATCATGCACTTCAACTCACCGCCTGGGAATCATGCACTCTGTTTGACTGTTTGGTCACCTGAACAGGTATGATGGCGTGAATATGACGGCGTGAATATGACGGCGTGAATATGACAGCGGTCATTGATCGATAATCGTTAATCAATAACCTGATCATAATCATTGATCACTCATGAGTATGAAACGCGCTCTCGTCTCTCCTGCTGACGGACGTTCAGAGTTTATTCAGGAGAAGAACGTCTCTTTCGAAGATGGACCACGACGCCCGGTACCGACGACCTTTTGGAGGCGTTACCATGGTAACCCTGCTGGTGAGGTCAAAGTTGAAGTCCAGGAAATGAGATCTAAACTTTTTCTTCATCGTCAAGTTTGCTGAGCTGGACTCTGAGTGAGGGCAGCTGAAACCGGGTTCAATCAGAACCAGGACTCCAGTCTGGATCCACCTGACTGACTGTCCGAAGGTCCGAGAGCGGAGACGCCGAAGAGAGAAGAAGAAGAAGAAGAAGAAGAAGAAGAAAGGAGGAGGAGGACCGATCTTCATCTACAGGAAGTTCAGTCATACATGTTTACATCTCCATGACTGTTGCTAGGATACAGACTTAATAACCCCCCCGGGACAAAGACAGAGTTCTGGTTCTGGTTCTGTAATGACTCAGCTCTCGGTCACATGACCTCAAAACAAACTCAGTTTTTATTGATATTTTATTTATTTATAAAAAAAAAATCAATAAAGATGTAAAAAATTTATGATCACAGATGATTGACCTCATTGATCAGCAGGTTAATAGATCGGTATATTGATCATTATTGATTAGTGATTCAGTTTTTTAAGGACTTGATCAGGTTAATTTAAACTGAAATCAAAGTGATGAACTTTTTATCTCAGACTTTTAATCTGAAAAATCACTCTGAGGTCACTTCCTGTGAG